TTTTTTTTAGGTTATTTACAAAACATTTTAAATGATTCCAGCTCTACTGGATGATCATGTATGTTGTTGCATGTTCTCAGATCAGTTGTTGAGTGAATCCCGCTATGTCGTCCAGTTGTAAAAGGTATTTACTGTGTGGAGACAAACCCCATAATAACTAAAATATTCAGTGCAGAGATCCAAAGGCACAGTAATAATCATTCACTCATTGCCAGTATTTAAACCGAGTATATCACCTACAACAACATATGTTATTGAATAATGTCCTCTAACAACATTCCTGTCAGAAGGTAGAAGCTGCAATCAGTTTTTTGTGAAAGGACTTTTAACAGCTCTATAAATCAATTTTAAATGGCAACAAAGGGGGACTGGGTTCATTATAATGTAGCACACAGAGTAGGTACAACAATGCAGAGTCATAAGTATAATATAATGGCAAAAGAATTCATTTCTTTATTCTCTATGTGGCGCCTTTGTAAATACAAATACGGGTACAAAAGAACCCCCCACATGCAAACATCATTATTAGCTTTTTTGCACAGAATTATTGTAATGTTTGTTGAGCTATGCTCGTTATATCTTCAGACAGAGAATCCACAAATTCTTTGAATTCTGAAGCTGAAATTAGTGGCTATAACTCAGACACATGCAATAGAAGAAACATGAAAAAGAGCCTTTGTTTTTGTCTTGAGTTTTGTTGGATTTCTTATGAAATCAAACCTGCCAGTGTGAGAAGTTTTCTTCCACTCTGTCACTGTATTCATGATGTCCTGATTACATGATCCAGAACGTAATCATTGTTGCTATTACTTCTGTCCAGCAGAGGTTTTAAATAGAGCTTGTAGTGCAGTCAGAAATCCTCTCCTTTAAAAGGAGCTGAGAAAGCTCAGCATAAGATTGCGCAGTCTTGGCAAAGGCCTTGACTTTCCATGCTCTGGCTAAATGTTACTAGGTGTGGAGGCCTTAGTCTTGGGGCATTGCAGAGCTGAAAGCTGAAAGCTCTCTGCCTGGAGTTTTCCCGTTGAGACCTACAGACAAGAAGTGGTGAAACACGTCTGGTGGCCAGAGCTCTCAGTCAGCATTGTTTGTTGGGGCTCTCTTTTTTTCAATTAAACCAAGTGAACTAATCTAAGAGAGCCAAGTGCCTCCTCTGGTAGCAGCTGACAAACGAGCGTACCAACAAGACCAAACAAACTGTGACCAATGAGACTAAAGTTAATTTAGATAATGTTACAAAATAACTGTGCAAAAATGCCCTGTGGTGTTTCAAGATGGTTACTAATTGGCAAGTTTGTTGTTTTGCTTCTGTTCTTTGTTTTTTTCCCCAAGAGGAAGTTTTCAGTCACCTAATGGAGTAGTTGTAATTTTGAGTAAAGTTACTGAACATCAGTCTAAACAACTGCAAAGAAAGGATTGGGTAGTTTGCATTACTTGCTTGTGTTCATTGTTATACGTGTTTCTAGAGTGTCCTGACATATTTCCCACTGAGACAACAGTTGTTTTAAGACCGGGCCATTAATGTTTGTATTGTTGGTTCAGTGTGGAGGGGGTGGAGCATGTTCACACAGTGTTAAGAGAGTGACTGGTATTTTTAATCTAGCACTTCAGTGATCACATGAACCATTTTATCATTTTGGGTCATCATTTTTCTATCATCGACTAAAGATGTATTAAAAAGGACACTGTCCCTTTTACTGTATCTGCACCAAAAATAGTTTAGACCCCCAAAAAAAAGCGTTCCTCCCGACCGAAAAGTACATTTTTAATAAGTTTATATGAAACTGTGACCTAATTACTAAGAAAGACACTTAGAGGTTGTGCATGCTAACCGTGTTATCTGTCACTGATTGTTTGAACACAGGCACACTATGGATGAAGAGGAACAGTTTGTTAACATTGATCTGAATGATGACAATATCTGCAGCGTCTGTAAGCTAGAGACAGAAACGGGGACCTTATCTTTCTGCCACGTCTGCTTTGAACTCAGCATTGAAGGTAAGGCTGTGGGCTGCGTGTGTGTTCACCAACAAAGTGCTATGGGGGGGGGGGAAAGAAAAGAGCTGCCTGCTTTTTTCAAAAAAACATTTTTAAGTGTGACCTTTTCTTAATTGCCACACACTAATGTCTGTCTGATGGGATTCTGAATTTGCCTTTGTCTTAATGTCCAGCAATTTCAGAGCTTTTATCAACAGGCAGGCTTGCATTAATATATCAGTGCTGCTCTTAGTTTCTAAGATGTTTTGGATTATGTAGAATCATCCAGATTCTTCTGCGGTCATCACTTCCCATCATGGTAAATATGCCTGCACCAGTTGTTGCGATAAAGTCTGAGAGCCTTTCAGTTTTTCATCGGTTTGATGTCTTATAGGATTGCCTGTCACAGTCGCTTCTTTTATCCTCTCTAGAAACAATGTATAAGCTACATGTGCAGGGTAATGGGACTGCACAACCGAAGCCCTAAGTATGGCAAGCTGCTGTGATTCTCCCGTTTGATGTGCCACTCCAACTCAAGAGCATGTGTTTGAAGTTTTTTCATCTCTTAATTAATGAGTGGCCTATTTGAGGAAGAATAGGGAATCAAAAGGGATTGGACATGCCTCTCATTTGGCACTCGTCTCACAGATGCACAAAGGCTCTTGTTGAAGTGTGTGTATATTTTTTATCTATATATATTGTGATTGTGTATGATGTGTAAAACAGCTATAGAGGATTCTGCGAACTGCCCGAGTGCTTCTAGGTTGGTGTATCATTTTGAGATGGGCTGGATTGTTTTGCTCACTTAGGCTGTCTTTGCATATTCTGTTTCAGGATGTTGAGTCCAAGTACTAAAAGTCTATCCCCAAATCTGAGGTGTCCTTTGGCACTGGATGTGTCAGAAAAAACCCTCTCAGATTCTGTTTTTTGGGGTGCAAGTTTTGATGTGTGTAGCATTGAAATGGCTGTTACGTAACTGTCGGATATGCTGGGAGAAAAGGTAGAGTTTGCAGACAAGCACGTGTTTCTGGTGCAGCTAAGCATATCATTGGTCGGAGAAAAGCCTGCCAAGCTTCATGTGGCCACTTTCGGCATGGCTGATTGGAAACTAAAGCCTAGCCATGTGCTCGCTGACTGCTCATGTAGACTTAATAGACATAGCACCCATTCATCCTGCACCACTGTTTGTTTGTTAAAAGAGAAGAAGTAAGGCTACAATTTACTCAACGGCGAATCTGTTAACCCTGATAAACATGAGTCTATATACACCTTCATAGTGGTGTTTATCTCTTTTATACACACACACACAAACACACACACGAGCCCTTGTGTCCCAGGTCACGTCATGCTATCACTATCATTCATTGCTATCATGCTCTATGTTGGCTCTGAATATTCAATAAACAGCAGAGTCAGAATTATTTCTTGTTTTTGTTTATTTATTTACTTATTTGTGTTAGATAGAGGCCACTTTGTATGTATTACTTTCTACATGAACAGAATATTAACAGAATTATCAAGTAAATTTATTGGTGTGGTTTAAGAAAATGCCATCACCCCAAAGAACTTTTTTTTTTTTATATATAATTTATTTTATGAACAAAGATAAGTGTTTTCTACAGGCCACACAGCAGGCAGACTTGTAGCTGGCTGAAACTAAATGGTGACAAATGCTGGTTGTAGATGGATAGAGATCAAGTCTTTCTGTGTCAAAAATGATATTTTTAGACCAGGTGAGGGTGTGAAGATGAGCCACCATATGCACGTCCTTGCACAGTCCAATTGCATCTAAAGACAAGGAGAAGGGTTTATTTTTTTACTTAAACGCACCACATTTGGAGAAGACTGATTTGGTACTGCACCTTTGCAAAGCTGAGTGACCATTAGGGTACACGTGACCCGAAGAATGGTGAAATTTTTCCACAATATTCTATTTTTTTATAACATTTTGACCACAACTGAACATTTTTGTAAAATCAATCAAGTTGCCCTTTTTTTCTGCAGATGCTTTTATTTTAAAAGAAAAGAAGTTTCAGTGCACAGTGTGGTGGTGACGCTCACCACAACTTGACACTGCCACATTGTAGCTAAGCAGCAGCAAAAGAATCCACTATGAGTTACACTCA